GCGCCGCCCACGAGACACGCGCGGGGGGGCACGGGCTCACGGAACCCAGGCGTCCGGGCACACACACACACACACACACACACACACACGCACAGGACACACACATGGACAGAACCTAGGCGTCCGGATACACAAATTAGCACGCATGCACACACATACAGAACCCAGGCATCCGGGTACACACACACACATACACACACACACACACACAGAGGTATCTGGGCGCATGCACACACAGAGAACCCAGGTGTCCAGGACACACGCACACACACACTGACACAGAACCCAAGTGTCCAACACACACACATGGAACCCAGGCATCTGAACACACACACACACACACACACACACACACCACACATACACTCACATACACACACTGGCAAGCACAGTAACACACTAATGTGCCTGGACACTCCCTCACACACAGGCACACACACACTAATACACATGGACACACACACAGATTCAAACAAACACATACCTGCATACACACTTGTGCATGGACACACACTAACACACACGCTACCCTTGGTATGGGTGTGTGCATGCACACACACACTCTCACATGTGTGCACATGCAAACATGCTCACACACACTGACAAACTCAGGAATACTGATACCTTGGCATATGCCTATATGCTCACACACACACACACACACACACACACACATACACACACCAATCACATGCTCTGACACATGCCAGGCTGGCCAGCTGGGTCAAGGAACTCTAGCTCCTACTGTGTGTGTGCCCTCGCCTTGCTTTGGGAACAACAATGAGTGTGACTCTGTGTGTGTATAGGTGTCCCAGGTGCCTGGGCAGTGTATGTATGTGTCACAGTTTGTGCTTATGTGAGTCTGCACATGTATATGAGTGTGGGCATGTGTCCACATGTGTGTAAAAGAGCATGTGTGGGTGTCCGTGTGTGTTTGTGAGGATATGAATGCATAAGTGTGCAATCATGTGTGCATGAGATCATGTGCACATATGCATGAGTATATGTGAGTGCATGTGTGCAGGGGTCCCAGTGTGTGTGCGCGTGTGTATGTATGTTTGGGAGGTGCACATGGGAGGAGGCCTGGGTGCACAGGTGTGTGTGTGTGTGTGTGTGTGTGTGTTTGGAAGGTGCATGTTGGGGGAGCTCTGGGTGCACAGGTGTGTGTGTGTGTATGTGAGGTGCACATGGGGGAGGTCTAAGTGCACACATCTGTGTTTGTGCATGTGTGTGGCTGGTCTGGATGTGTGTTCACAGGATTGTCTGTGCCTGGCTGCTGTCTGTGTGTCTCATGCACATGTGCACACACACTGACAGGTACATACCTACAGTTTAGTCACAGGCATTCACACATGTGTGAGCACTGACACATGCCAATACAAATTTATACAGACATGCACAGGCACAAACACGTTCATACACAAAACAGATGCTCATACATACACACACATGCAGACACAGATACACAGAAATACACAGATTGACAGGTGAGTGCACACATGCACACATGTTATATGCACCTCTCTCTCACAGACACATAGACTAACACCCCCCTTTCTCACAAACACGCATGCTCACACACCCTGTGCACACACACAGGTACATATATGTGGTGTACATAAACACACATACATGCACAACCCAGGCATCTGACATGAGTGCATGAGGACTACACACACACACACACACACACACACACGACCCAGGTGTCTGGCCTTCATACACACATATCCAGAGAACCCAGGTGTCCAGAACACACACACACACCTCAAGCTTCCAACACACACATGTGCACGCTTGCACACACAGAACCCAGGCATCTGATGTGTGCACACACACACACACAGAATCTAGGTGTCTGACATACACACACATACTCTCTCTCACACAGAGACACAACCCAGGCATCTGGCATGAATGCATGTGCACGCGCACACACACACACACAATCCAGGCATCTGACACACATACACAGACACATTCAGAGAACCCAGACATCTGACATGCACATGTACGCACCCACAAACACACACACAACCCAGGCATCCAGCACATGTGTACACACACATAGAATCCAAATATCCAATACACACACATGCACACACACAGAACCCAGGCATCCAACACACACACACACAACCTAGGCATCCAACACACACACACATGCACACACGCATGCACACATACAGAATCCAGGCATCCGAGATACACACACGTGCATGAACACACAGAGCCCAGGTGTTCGTGCTCCAGACACACACACACAGACACCCCCCCCACCCTTGCCTTTGCCATCACAATTGAGTATTGATCGCAGCTCCAGGTCCTGCCCCCCCCCATCTGCTGGGCCAGGGCCTCCACTCTCATCTCTGTGCAACAAGCCCTGTGGAGGGGCAGCCGAAGCACTGTCACACACGCGTGTGCACAGTACACCCCGAGACAGGCACACACACAGGTGTGCCTGGACACAGAGACACAACCACACACCTCCCCAACACACATGCACACTAATGCATGTGCCTGCATGTGCCCTCTCAAACACATGCACCTTCAAATGGGTGCACACTCGGATGCATGTATAAACTCACATGTGCCCAGATATACACACCGAGGCTCGCATGCATGGGGACACCCCCCACCCACAGGTTCCAAGATGTGTGCATGCACGCATATACACACACACACAGAGCAGGCCTGCCCTCCATTAGGCAATGGGAAGGACATGTGTGCACACACACACACACACTTGTGTCCAGGTTCTTTCCCGGCATGATCCAGCTCATCTGTGGTAACTTCCAGTGCACCAAGGACCAGGTGCAAGCACACATGTGTCCTTGCACACCTGTGTGTGAGCACTTGCATGCATGAAGGCTTGTCGAGTATGTGAGGGGTGTGAAAGGGGAGTAGGGTGGGACGTTGACAGGGGTTGGGCATGCATGTGAGCTGGCATCTTTGGGATTATGGGGGTACTGCAGGGTCCCTGTCACACATGTGGGTCTGGACACCACTGCATTTGTGGGGAGGGGCACAGGGTGATCCCATGTGTGTGTGGGACCCAACACAGCTGCAGTCATGGGGTGCACAGCACACCCTCATCACACATGTGGGGCCTGACATGGCTCAGACCTTCATCCCAGGTCCCTAACACACATGTGGGGCCTGACATTGATGAAATCATGAGGACTACAGCACACTTCCATCACACATGTGGGGCCTGACATGGCTCAGACCCTCACCCCAGGTCCCTGACACAAGTGCAAAGCCCAACATGGCTGAAAATATGGGGCACAGGGTGCACCCCCATCACATATGTGGGATCCAACATGGCTCAAGCCCTCATCCTAGGTCCCCATCATACTCATGGGGCCTGACACAGCTGCATTAATGGTACACAACACACCCCTATCACACATGTGGGGCCTGACATGCCTCAAGCCCTCACCCCAGGCCCCTGACACACATGCAGGACCCTACATGGATGTAAATATGGGGCACACAGTGCACCCCCATCACACATGTGAAGCATGACACAACTCAGGCCCTCACCCCACCTCGTTGTCACACATGTGGGGCCTGACACAGCTGCAATCACATGGTGCACATGCCTGATACACTCCCATCACACATGTGGGGCCTGACACAACTCAGGCCCTCACCCGAGCTCCTCGTCACACATGTGGGGCCTGACACAGTTGCAATCCCAGTGTGCCCAGTGCACACCCATCACACATGTGGGGCCCAACACAGCTGCAATTGCAGGGTGCACTACATACCCCATCACACATGTGGGGCCTGACACAGCTCAGCCCCCAGGCCCCCCACCACAGTCACAATCCCAGGGCGTGCAGCGAGTCCCAGGCCTGCACTGGCCCTGTCACGCGTGTGGGGTGGCGGCGGCGGCAGCGGCCGGGCGGGGGGGCACGCGTGTGTTTTTGTATCTGTCTGCTCTCCTGGAATTATGAAAAATACCACCATCGACACTGGACTTCAGCTTCGATTAAGGCAGATAGGACATGACAGGCCCGATCAATACCAGGCCCGTCCTATAAAGTGTCAAGTAATGAATCAATTTCGACTAAATTTTCCATTTTTCAGGGGCCGTCCGGCGCGGGGAGAATATCCTCTTTTGTAAAGATATTATTATCGATTGCGGCGGCAATTTGACATCAGGGGTAGTTAATTCCACTCAGAATAAAATTGAAAACACTTGAGAGAGAAGAGAGAGAGAGAGAGACACGGACGGAGGGAGACAAAGGGAGAGGGGGAGGGGAGGAGAGGCAGAATGGGGAAGGCAGGAGGGACGAGTGCGGGAGGGAGAGGTGGCCGCAGATGGAGGGATGGACAGAGACAGGGGCACAGTTGGAGAGATAGGTGAATGTCCACTAGATAGATAGATAGATAGATA